ATTAAATCCTCGATTTTCTGTAGTGGTTTAAGATGATGATGACAATAGTGGTGGTAACGTAGTGGCAATGGTGATGACAATGGCGATGGTAGGGGTATAATAATAGTGGTGTCGGTTGAAGGCATGAGAAATGATCACACCATAATATGGTGCACTCTCTCACACCAAATCTATATTATATGGAGGTCTATAAACCTTCTCACAAGATGAAACGAATAATTTGAAACACTACAACAAAAGTAACCTATAGTGACGAAAAGTAGTGAAGAAAATAAATTTTGTCACTAAATAAGAATAATCCGTGACGAATTATAAAATTTTGTCACGTATAATAAAAAAATAAAAATAATAGGTGACGAAATTTATTTTTGTCAACAAATACTTCTTTTTAGGTGAGGAAAAATTAAGTTTCGTCATCAAAAGTTTTCCCGCTAATATTTTTTGAGTGGCGCCAAAAATTTAGACTTTTGGTGAGAAAAATTTTTATCACCAATTATAAAATTATTAGCGAGGAATACATTTTCGTCACCAATAATTTTATACATATATTTTTTGAGAAACTTGATTTTAAATGTTTTAAGACCATTTCGTGAGAAATATATTTTTATCATTAATAATTTTTAATATTTTGAGACATTTTAGTGAGAAAATTATTTTGTCAACAATTTTAGAGGAAAAATTTTAACATATTGGGCGGTAATGGAAAAAATAGACTACTAACTTTTTTCCTCCTTTTATTTTTGTTTATCAATTTTTCTCTCCTCTCTCTCTCTCTCTCTCTCTCTCCCTCTCTCTCTCTCTCAAAACAAAAACACAAGTTAATTAACTCTCTAAACCTATGGTGACGGAAAGTAGTGAAAAAATATTTCGTCACTAAATAAGAATAATCCGTGACGAATTATAAAATTTTGTCACATATAATAAAAAGTAAAAATAATAGGTAACGAAATTTAATAAATACTTATTTTTAGGTGAAGAAAAATTAAATTTCGTCACCAAAGATTTTCCCTCTAATTTTTTTTTGGGTTGCGTCAAAATTTTGAGATTCTTAGTAAGAAAAAAAGTTGTCACCAATTACAAAATTATCAGTGAAGAATATATTTTTGTCATCAATAATTTTAAATATTTTTTTAAAAAAATAAATTTAAATATTTTAAAACTATTTAATGAGAAATATATTTTTATAGTCAATAATTTTAATATTTTAAAATTTTTAATGACAAAATTATTTTATCACTAACCAATCTTGGAGGGAAGAACTTTAAAATTTGACGGTAATAAAAAAGAGGAACCTATTAAGAATGGCAACAAAAACCATACCCAATGGCAATATTTTAAAATTTTTAATGACAAAATTATTTTATCCCCAACCAATCTTGAAGGGGGAACTTTGAGATTTGGCGGTAATGAAAAAAAGGAACCCTATTGATTAGGGATGGCAATGAAAATCTTACCCTATGGGTATCATGGAGATCCAATCCAAATATATGAATTTTCCCTTTTTTTTAACCCATAAGATTAATTAAGTGGGTTTTTAAAATATCCATAGGAGAAGGGTCGAGAATGGGTACCCGTCCATTTCCCCACAAGTTAGGGTTCTCTTTCTCAATCTCACTCTCACGGTTTCTCGTTCTCATTCTCACATAGCAGCGAAGGCAACAATCTCCATAGGTTTTGCGAAGGCAACGATCTAGCGGTGGCGATCTCCGTCGGCGTTACCACGGTGGTTCTCCGGCGTGGTGAGTTTCTCTCTCTCGTTCTCTCGTTCTCTCTTGTTCTGTGTGTGTTTACAAATTCATCTATTCGTCACTTTCTCAACTTCCAAACAGAGTTGTTGCTTCACAGAGTTTTTGGCACTCTTTTGCAATTGGCGAAACCTGTCTAAGAGACTTACGCATCAATCAACAGAAAATACGGTTAGCTTCACAAAGTTGTTGCTTTGATTCATGGAAATTTTAACTCAATGTTGTTTAAAGCTATGGATTTAAATCAGTTGTGAATTCTGATGCATTTGGAAATTGTTAGGTTTGATTTCTCATGTGGAAGATGAAATTGATTTACTGTCTATTTATTTTCTTGGGACTTTGCTATGTTATGTTATGTTATGTTAAAAGGGTTTAGGGTCAAAATGGATTGCATAAAAGCTTTGTTACAAAAATGGCAATTGCCTCTGCAAATGATCAAGATCAATATAGCTACTCCTTAAGTTTTTAGGCAAATAGGTTATCTCTGTTTTGATGATTGGTTGCTTTATATAGTCAAAATAAAATGAGTGTTTTAACATTTCCATTGAATAAGAAGAGAAAGAGAAGAGAATGTTGAGTGGAAAGTTGATCCCTTTTAGCTTGTAGAGACAGAAATAGGGGTTTTTAGAGAGAGAGAGAGAGAGAGAGAGAGTCTTGGGATTTTAGGGATGTTTCAGGTACTAATCCAATCTTTCAATTTTACTTTCATCAATTATTGATCAATACTGTTGAATTTTCACTTTGTTGTGTTGATCAGCTATTGAATTGGCTAATGCTCCTCTATTCATGTAAAACTAATAAAAGAATGGATCCATTCTCCTAAGATCTAAAAAAATAAAATAAAATAATGAAAGAAAAGAAATAATAAGCCCCATATTTTTAGTGTAATTACACCGACATCTCTTTTAGTAAGGTAAAGTGATTGGAATTAATGGACATAATGGTGTGAAGACACAAATAAACAAAGTAAAGAGGGAATTTGACAGCACTACCTCAGACTATGATGATCAAGAAATTGTAGAGAACATAGCTCATAATTGTAGAGTTAATGGAATTTCTCCCGTCCTTCCTCACATTAAGCGTGAGTTCTTTTTCTCTTTCATATGATAAGGAAGATAGATCCAAGAAAATATTGGTGAGGACTATCAATAAGATTTGATGCTTTTGACCTTCATTCTCATGATTGGTGGAATTTTTTTTTTTTTTTTCATTGTAAAATTAGACTTAGGGAATGAACAATATGACATGATAGGTATAGTAGATCCCTCATTTGTATGTCTTTTAACTTTGCTCAATTGTTTGATGGATTGGGATCTGGTTATTGCTAGCAATATTTTATTGTGTAAGTTCCTAATTTGAAATTGGCTTCTAAACATTTGGAAATGTACTTTACTATGAATAGGCAATCTGACTTTGACTCAATACACTAGTATGTCAGACATATTTTCATCGCTCTATTGTTAATGGAAAGACATTAAAGAATATAGGAAGTCTGGAGAAATGAGCTATAACTTTAGAAACAACATCGTGTATATATTTTTCTCTCAATCTTGCTAAGATATGCACAAAATCTTCACAAGACTAAGCCTAAAACATGCTCCAACAAAGGCTAACAACCTAAGGCACATTAAGGCATAAACAAGGCACTGAAAAGTTTCCTCACTGTCAAAGACACATTAGAAGGGACTTGCATAGTCCTGAAGCATCTAGATTTGATAATATATGTGTGAATCCACTTTACCCATAGGATATTTGACTTTTTGCATATAGCCCAAAGAAGTTTCATAGTTGTAGCTTGATTCTAATGAATGATTGATTTAATTCACAGAACTCCTCCATTTTTTGGACAGAAAACTTGTTCCCAACTTACTTTAGCATATGTTAAGTGGTTTTTAACCCCTAACCAAAGGAAGTCTTTCATAATGGCTTCTATTTCTTTCAAGATTTGCTAAGGAAGGATAAAAACGAAGGACCAATAAACTTATATGCTGCTGAAAAAAACAGATTGATCAAGTTAGAGCCTACCACCATAAGACAGAAATTTAGTTGTCCAACTGTTGATTCTATTCATCATTCTTTTATTAAGTTGCTCACACTCTGCAGCTTTTAGTTTATAGGAAATAAGAGGAAACAGTAAATAATTAACCGTCAATTTCCCTTCTGGTATTGGCAAAATGGATAAAAGATCAGACTTAGTTAGATTCATTACTAACTCCACAGAGGAAGGGAAAAAGAAAACTTATGTTTCTAAAGATTAGGTTGTAGGCCAGATAGAAGATGGAACTGAGATAACATACTCTTAATGATTTGGAAAGAGCCCATGTTAGCTTCACATAGAATGAATAGATCATCAGCAAATGCCAATTGAACCTAACATTTCCAATGGAAAGTAAAACCACCTTCTCTCACTCTTTGCTGCCGTATTCTATAGAAACACTCCATCACAATTGAGAAACAAGTAGGGGGACATAGGATCACCTTACCTTGGATCCCCTTTTTGCCGGGAAATAATCAACTAATTCTCCATTTATTACTACTGAGTACATAACAGTGGAAATGCACACCTTAATCCAGCCAACAAACTGAGCAGGGAATCCCATGTGTCATAGATACCAATAACAAATTCCAATCTACAGAGCCATAGGCCTTGATTAAATCAATTTTGAACACACACCTTGTTGGTCCTTCATTTCTGTGATAAACTCTAACAACCTCTTGCATCAATAAAATATTATCAAGTGAGTAGAAAGCTTATCCAGAACATAACTTTGGATGCTGCTCTAATCTAACACCTCATCCAGGGTGGAATGGAAAAAAACACATATATAGACATGGGAGATTTTGTTTCTTGTTTTTCCTCAAAGTTGTTTCTCCCCTTTTCCACAAACCTTGTCCCAGTTATTTATTTTGGTTGAGTCACAAAGTTGATTGCCTTTTAGCCAAACTAGAAATTAGACAAATTTGGGATGCAAGGAAGTGATACGTATGGCTGCATTTCTTTAAAATTATTGATATATTTTTAGCTCTTCTCCTTTCTGTCTAAATTGGAGAGGGGTTGTTGAAAATTGGATTGGCAACAAAACTACAAGAGCCTCTATAGCTTGTAAATACCAATGTAATTCTTTTTCTAGTTTTCTTCTTTTTCTAAAAGTCTAAGTCAAGTCTCTAAAAGTATAGTTTTCATTTTGCATTTCAAGAAGGTGATTCTATTTCTTTCAGGTTTCTGTCTGGTGGGTTTTGTGTTTTTTTTTTCTTCTTCTTTTTGTTTATTTATTTTTTTAAGTTACTACAGAAATCTATCTATAGATTTTGTAAGTGTTTGATGCCATGTCTTTATGTCTGTTTTATTTTATTTTATTTTTGTTTCTTTCAATATTATTCATTTTGTGGAGTACCAAAGACTCATGTGTGCTGATTTGGATAACTACTGAGCTTGTAGATCTGCGATTATTCTCCTGATCAACATAGAAGCTTTGATGGAACTAGTAACTCTTTGGTAAGTTACTATAAATATTTTCTTTCATATCAGTAATTTCGGTTAAAAAAATAAATATAAATATATATTTGCAGTGCTGGTCATGGGTAGAGGATATTCTTGAGAGAGAGAGAGAGAGAGAGAGAGAGAGAGAGAGAGTAGCTGATGATGATGCATAAATTACTACATAAAGGTAATTTCTCTTACCCTTAATGTATGCACTTATTGCTATTGTGTGGTGAAAGATCCACCAATGAACTCTCACCTATCTTTATTTTTAAGAGCCAAAAAAATCACGAACATGTTTATAAATAAAAAATAAAAAAATTCCTTATCAAAGAGGATTTGATCAAGGTTTTTGTTGGGTACAAATTCATAAACAAGGCGGTCTGGACCTTCAATGGTACAACCCAAAAGTCTTACAAGGTTCTTGTGTTGAATTCCACTTATCAAATTTATTTCATTGAAGAAGTCATCGACCCATTGTCATGAATCAAATGTATCTCAATGCTATATTGTATTTTCAAGCTATTAAATATATTCTGGCATTAGTGATAGTGATATATGATATTGCTGCAATCTTTTGGCATCTTCTGTTATCCGTGTTTGCTTTATCATCAAGGATCACCTCAACACTTTAAAGTTTTGGATTGTTATATGCATGTCTACTAAATTGGTTTATAAAATAAAATTATTTATATGTGAGTTTAGATGTAATTCATAATATATTAATGTTTTCCTTGTTTAATTTTTTTGCAGATTGGTTTCTGATGACGTTTATTAGAAGCATACTTGCAAATCAAGATCAAGTGTTAAATTTTTTTTCTTGAACTGATTCTTAGTTCTAGTTTTAAACCTAGTTGACTGATATTTTTTTTGTTGGACTCCGCATTAGTTCATTTTGGAATTTGTTATGATGGTTTTTTTTATTATACTTAATGGATTATTATTAAATTTGTTTGATGGATATATTTTCATTTATGATATAAATTGTTTAGTGAATTATTTTGTGGAGTGGTGTATAATAGTTAGTGGATTTTTTAGTACATTTAAAAGGCTATTGGGATATGAGTAGGGATATTTGTGAAATAATAATTTAAATTGAAATATAAAATATGGAACAAGTTCAGTGACGAATTTTTTCGTCATTTGTACTTGTTATTATGACAAAGTGATTATTCGTCGCTAATAAACATTTTTTGTGATAAAATTTATTGTAGTTTATATATGAAATATTTCATTGATTTTGTTGTTTGGTGACTAAAAATTTCGTCACGTATATATATATTTGTGGCGAAATATATTTCGTGACCCATGTATGACTTTTGAAGACAAAAAATTTCGTCACCTTTACATCTTACTGTGACGAAATTATTTCCTCATCAATGATCAACATGTGTGACAAATTTATTCGTCAACTAAAGTTAAAAATATGGAATTGAATAACTATTTGGTGACGAAAATGAGAATTTTATATGACAAAATGTTGTTTTATTGGTGATAAAAAATTTCGTCACTGAAGTAATTTCATTGGTGACGAAATTATTTTTTGTCACGGTGGTTTTTAGTGACAAACATTCAATGACGAAACCGGTGACGAAAATATTTCCTCACAAATATCTATAGTGACGAAATTAGCTCTTTGGAGACAAAAAAATTTCGTCATTTAAGACCCAACTTGTTGTAGTGGTTTAAACACACGGACACGTATTCAGATGCTCTTGCATGATGGCAGATATGTAATTATGGTGTTTACTAGCCATTGGTCATACATTAGGATTCGAACACTCGGACACTTAATCAGACCATCTTCCATGATGGTAGATATGTAATTATGGTGTTTACTTTCCATTTCTCATGCATTAGCGTTCGAACCCTAGTACACCTATTTGGACCCTCTTGCACGATGGCAGATATGTAATTATGGTGTTTACTTGCCATTTCACATGCATTTGGGTTTAAACACACGGACACTTATTCGGACCCTCTTGTATGATGGTAGATATGCAATTATGGTGTTTACTTGCCATTTCTCACGTATTAGAGTTCGAACACTAGCACACTTATTCGGACCCTCTTGCACGATGATAGATATGCAATTATGGTGTTTACTTGCCATTTCTCATGCATTTGGGTTTAAACACACGGACACGTATTCTGATCCTCTTGCATGATGGCAGATATGTAATTATGGTGTTTATTTGCCATTTCTCATGCATGTGCGATCGAACACTTGGACACTTATTCGGATCGTTTTATATCATGGCAGATATGTAATTATGGTGTTTACTTGCCATTTCTCATGCATTAGCGTTTAAACAAACGGACCCGTATTCGGATCCTCTTGCATGATGGCAGATATGTAATTATGGCGTTTACTAGCCATTTCTCATACATTAGGGTTCGAACACTCGGTCACTTATTCACACCCTCTTGCACGATGGTAGATATGCAATTATTGTGTTTACTTGCCATTTCTCATGCGTTAGCGTTCGAACACTAGTACACTTATTCGGATCCTCTTGCACGATGGCAGATATGTAATTAAGGTGTTTACTTGCCACTTCTCATGCATTACGGTTTAAACACACGGACACGTATTCAGATCCACTTACATGATGGCAGATATGTAATTATGGTGTTTAGTAGCCATTTCCCATACATTAGGGTTCGAACACTCGGTCACTTATTCGGACCCTCTTGCATGACGGCAGATATGTAATTATGTTGTTTACTTGCCATTTCTCATGCATTAGCGATCGAACACTGGGACACTTATTCGGACCGTCTTGCATCATGGCCGATATCAAATTATGGTGTTTACTTGCCATTTCTCATGCATTAGGGTTTAAACACACGGACACGTAATCGGATTATCTTGCATGGTGGCAAATATGTAATTATGGTGTTTACTTGCCATTTCACATGCATTAGGGTTCGAACACTCGAACACTTATTTAGACCCTCATGCATTATGGCTGATATGTAATTATGGTGTTTACTTGCCATTTCTCATGCATTAGGGTCTAAACACTCGGACACTTATTCGAACCCGCTTACTTGACGGCAGATATGTAATTATGGTGTTTGCATGCCATTTCTCATGCATTAGCGTTCGAACACTCAGCCACTTATTCGAACCGTCTTGTATGATGGCAAATATGTAATTATGGTGTTTACTTGCCGTTTCACATGCATTAGGGTTCAAACAAACGGACACGTATTTGGATCATCTTGTACGATGGCAGATATGTAATTATGGTGTTTACAGGCCATTTCCAATACATTAGGGTTCGCACACTCGGACACTTAATCAGACCGTCTTGCATGATTGCAGATATGTAATTATGGTGTTTACTTGCGATTTCTAATGCATTATGGTTAAAACACTAGGACACTTATTCGGATCCTCTTGCATGATGGTAGATATGTAATTATAGTGTTTACTTTCCGTTTCTCATGCATTAGCGTTCGGACACTAGTACACTTATTCGGATCCTCTTGCACGATGGCAGATTTGTAATTATGGTGTTTACGGGCCATTTCTCGTCCATTAGGGTTTGAACACATGGACACGTATTCGGATCCTCTTGCATTGTCGAAGATATGTAATTATGGTGTTTACTAGCCATTTCTCATACATTAGGGATCGAACACTCGGTCACTTATTCGGACCCTCTTGCATGATGGCAGATATGTAATTATGGTGTTTATTTGCCATTTCTCATGCATTAGGGTTTAAACACACGGACACTTATTCATATCCTCTTGCATGATGGCAGGTATGTAATTATGGTGTTTAGTTGCCATTTCTCATGCAATAGCGATTGAACACTCGGACACTTATTCGGACCGTCTTGTATCATGGCAGATATGTAATTATGGTGTTTACTTGCCATTTCTCATGCATTAGGGTTTAAACACATGGACACGTATCCAGATCATCATGCATGATGGCAGATATGTAATTATGGTGTTTAATAGCCATTTCTCATACATTAGGGTTCGAACACTCGCGGACACACAATCAGACCGTCTTGCATGATGGCAGATATGTAATTATGGTGTTTACTTGCCATTTCTAATGCATTAGGGTTTAAACACTTGGACACTTATTCAGACCCTCTTGTATGATGGTAGATATGTAATTATGGTGTTTACATACCATTTCTCATGCATTAGCGTTCGAACACTAGCACACTTATTCAGACCCTCTTGCACGATGACAGATATGTAATTATGGTGTTTACTTGCCATTTCTCATGCATTATGGTTAAAACACACAGACACGTATTCAGATCCTCTTGCATGATGGCAGATATATAATTTTGGTGTTTATTAGCCATTTCTCATACATTGGGGTTCGAACACTCGGTCACTTATTCGGACCCCCATGCATGATGACAGATATGTAATTATGGTGTTTACTAGCCATTTCTCATGCATTAGGGTTTAAACACACGGACACGTATTCAAATCCTCTTCCATGATGGCAGATATGTAAATATGGTCCTTACTTGCCATTTCTCATGCATTAGCGATCGAACACTCGGTCACTTATTCGGACCATCTCGTATCATGGCAGATATGTAATTGTGGTGTTTATTTGCCATTTCTCATGCATTAGGGTTTAAACAAACGGACCCATATTCGGATCCTCTTGCATGGTGACAGATATGTATTTATGGCATTTACTAGCCATTTCTTCTACATTAGGGTTCGAACACACGATGACTTATTTTGACCCTCTTGCATGGTGGCAGATATGTAATTATGGAGTTTACTTGCCATTTCTATTGTATTAGGGTTTAAACACTTGGACACTTATTCAGATACTCTTGCATGATGGTAGATATGTAATTATGGTGTTCACTTGCCATTTCTCATGCATTAGCGTTCGAACAGTAGTACACTTATTTGAAACCTCTTGCACGATGGCAGATATGTAATTATGGTGTTTACTTGCCATTTCTCATGCATTAGGGTTTAAACACACGGACACGTATTCAGATCCTCTTGCGTGATGGCAGATATGTAATTATGGTGTTTACTAGCCATTTGTCATACATTAGGATTCGAACACTCGGACACTTAATCAGACCATCTTCCATGATGGTAGATATGTAATTATGGTGTTCGCTTCCCATTTCTAATGCATTAGGTTTTAAACACTTGGACACTTATTCGGACCCACTTGCATGATGGCAGATATGTAATTATGGTGTTTACGTGCCATTTCTCATGCATTGGTGTTTAAACACACGGACACGTATTCGGATCCTCTTGCTTGATGGCAGATATGTAATTATGGTGCTTACTAGACTTTTCTCATACATTAGGGTTCGAACACTCGGTCACTTATTCGGACCCGCTTGCATGATGGCAGTTATGTAATTATGGTGTTTACTTGCCATTTCTCATGCATTAGTGTTTAAACACACGGACACATATTCGGATCATCTTGCATGATGGCAGATATGTAATTACGGTGTTTACTCGCCATTTCTCATACATTAGGGTTCGAACACTCGGACACTTAATCAGACCCTCTTGCATGATGGCAGATATGTAATTATGGAGTTCACTTGCCATTTCTAATGCATTAGGGTTTAAACACTTGGACACTTATTTGGATACTCTTGCACGATGGTAGATATGTAATTATGGTGTTGACTTGCCATTTCTCATGCATTAGCGTTTGAACACTAGTACACTTGTTCGGACCCTCTTGGATGATGGCATATATATAATTATGGTGTTTACTTGTCATTTCTCATGCATTAGGGTTTCATCACACGGGCACATATTCAGATCCTCTTGCATGATGGCAGATATGTAATTATGGTGTTTTCTTGCCATTTCTCATACATTGGGATTCGAACACTCGGATACTTCATCAGACCGTCTTCGATGATGGTAGATATGTAATTGTGGTGTTCGCTTGCCATTTCTAATGCATTGGGTTTTAAACACTTGGACACTTATTCGGACCCTCTTGCATGATG